GATCCCCTTTTCCTCGATACTTGGCCTGCTTTGGATAGGCACAAATTGGGCGTTGCCGGGTAATTGCATCCATGGTAGAAAAGTTGGCGTAGGCTGTTCCAATAATAGCATCCGGGGCAGTTCCATTCTCCACCCAGTCCATAAGAGCAAAAAGTACGTCGTGTTTCGCATCCTGGTAGTGGGGGACTGAATGTTGCCCATTGTTCGTCATACTGATACCGGCAATATAGTAAGGAGCATTCACATAATTCGCAGTATCAACACAATGCCTGATCATCATTAGTTGACCGCCTGCCCTGCGATTGCAGAGATGATAGTGGAAAACAGCTTACCCCATGCCAGGAATCGGAAAGAAACGATAGAAATCATTCACGTCTATACCTTGGGGAGTGAGGGCTCGATCAATCTGGTCGTACAGATAGTAACTAGCTCCCGTTGCAATACCACCGTCGCTCAAGCCATGGTAATGGATCAGTTTTCTTCCCCCTTCATAGAACTCCCTCAAATCGTAGTATGACGCATCAGCCTGTCCGGGATTCAGCCTTTCGGATAATTGTACAATATCCGCGTCGAAAGATTCCCACTTCCAATCAGGACCTAAGCCCAACATATATTGAATGTATCCTAGACCTATGATATTCGGAGCCCCTCCATCAATGTTGAGATTCCAGAAGTGTTCCGAGCCGCGAAGCCAGGCAGGGAAAACCAGTGTCGAGTTTGTTTCCAGAAAATCCCGAGTAAGAATATCAAAAGTCTGCAATTGCTCTGCCGTCAGACATTCCGCATTAGTAGTATCAGTCACGTCTGAGGAACAAAGAAGCATTTCGGGATTGAAGTTGCAACCAAGAGGATCAGAGATGATTGTCTAAGTGTTGCTCAGTGGCACGCTCAAGCAATATCTTGGCTTGTATCGGAAAGACTCACATCAACGAGACCATCTTGACCATCACACTGCCGCAATACTTCTTTTCCGATGACATCAAACTTGCTAGTCGGAATCATGGTGAGGTTCGAGATGTAGTTCACATATCCCACCCAGAATTGCCATATTTGCTGATGGGACTATTCAACTGTCAAAATCTAAGATGAGAAATCACGTCAGGGTCTGAACAAACCGTCCACCACGCGGGAGCGCCTGCAATTATGCCATCGAAATCACTAGGGAATGCCTCCGCCTCTTTAAACCCTTGACGGCCACCTGTACTACATCCCTGATAATAGTTGAACGAGGGCTTGATCCCGTAGAAAGCCTCGGTGATCAGCTTGCTGTAGATTACTGTTTCGTGTAAGGCCCTCCATCCCCAATTGACCTGGGATTCAATGGTCTGGTAGGACCAACTTGCATCCGTTGCAGTACTATTGTGGCCAGTGTCAGTGGAAAAGACAGCGTGGCCATATTTGACACCCGTGCCCTGTTTCGGAAGGTTATTGGTTAGGATACGGCTGGACTGTGCAGGGCGGCCGTGTCGTACCATGTCCACCCAGTTCACCCCCCCAGCCAAGCCTCCATTACCAACAGTCCTGCATGAAGAGCGCCTTAAGTCAGATGGTGCATAAGAGGGTCATTAGCTTAGATTTGGTGCACTCACAGCGTGCGACCGTTCCATTTGGTGGGAAGGAAAAGCCCAAAGCCAAAGCTAGAGTTGGCTGTCTCTCCTAATACCATAGCACCAATCGCGCATAGGCTGGGGAGATTGATTGGGTCGGTCGGCCAACCCGTATCTTCCCTGGGCACCGTGAAGGTTCCATTCTCTGGGATAGCCGTCACAAAAGAGAGGCTGACATTCTGTGGTAGGATGGCATTCACGGCAACCCAGTCACAGTCCAGAACAGCATGAACTGTTCGGCTACCCATAATCAAGGGGAAAAGCGCTCGAATACTTAGTCTCATTGTAATCAAAGATGGTTCTCCCTTCTTGATTCATGAAGCACAGCAATACATTGGTCAAGCTCGGCTATTTATAATCCCAGCTGTGGACTCTGAAGACAAGTCCCAGCCATTTCCTGGCTTAATCCGCCGCCCGAATACCCACATCGTAAACAGTGCGAATTGAACTTGGAAGAGCCGAGAAATCAGGAGATACAACGGGCTGTTATCCCGCAAGCTGCGCTACGCTATGCCGCTTAAACACTAAATTCCCACGCGACCCCGCACTCCGGACACCGCGCTTTTACCCCAAGGCAGGTCTCTCTTCCTTGCTGGGATCGCAAAGGGCCTGACTCAAATAAATTACCCGCCATAGCCATTCTGTGTGCGAGCTGGATAGTGCACCAATCCTTTCACGCAGCTGGGAGTGGCACGGTCCTTGTTATTAACATGCATCCTGCTCCGCTAACCCCGCTCCACGTCATCCATGCAGTGTCTGTGTTAATGTAGTTGGACCAGAAAAAGATTTCATTCGGCGACTGGGCAGGTAGTTCGGGGGTGGGACAAGGCAGACTGTGTGTACCCGACTCCTCTTGCAGGTAGTGCTTACAATTTTGTGGTCACTTCCCGGGAGGCCGGTGGACTAAGAGAATGGAGAGAAACTTTTGATAACATGGGGAAATAAGAGTCCAGATGGTATGATTTCCTTGATCTTACCCCAGTCTTCTTTTGCCCGCAGTTTTCTGCTGTTCCTGGTCTTCCCTTGTCTAGTCTCCTATTGTCCACAGCTTTTTATTGTCTGTAAATTCTATTATGACTGGGTAGTTTGATTGGAATCAAAATCAGGTTGTATAATCAGGATCCGTGTAATTGCTTGTTTTATATCTATATATCTGCTAAAATGAGGGCTTAGCCCTTCTCACATATAGATTCTGGGATATCTGCATTCCTAATACTCCTTTAATAATAACTTTGCTAATGAGCTCAGTGTTCTGCTTAGCTAAATTCTATCTCTTTTACATGACATTATGACTTCTTCAAGAGGCCAGATCAGTATCTCTTGAAGTCTAGAAAGACTGGGTTCTTTCTTGTACTGAAATATAATTATCAGCAGACTAAAGTATTCTAATCAGATAAATCGAAATGTATCTTCACTATGATAGTTTGAAAGAATTAAATTATCTATTGTCAGCACGAAGGGTCAAAGAGATGAATTTGATCTATCTGATCTCAAGAGTGTGGGTGGTTGTTGGTTGGAAGATGTGGTGGTCGTAGACCGCGCAGGAAGAGGAGGCAAAGGCTCAGCTGGCCCTGGTTGGAGTGAAGTCTCAAGGATTTTTTCAACTGATAGAGACTTGGCAAATTACCATAGCCCGTCTAGATATATAAACCTAATAGATTAATTTCATTTTTTGGATAAAAACAGTCTACTTAGATTCTTCAGATTTACCGAGACTTTCGTAGGCAGAAGACTAGATTATTGTACTAGACTTTTATAATTATCGGTTATAAATTTATTCGGACTATCGGAGTCTCAAGAACTGAATAATTGTTCAGGGTAATAAAATGTTGGTATTTCAGATTAATCTATTTAGACCTGACTATGTAGTCTAGTCAAATTACTGCTGGTTATTGTAAGCTTACTGCCAAGCCACTAGTGCTTGCTGATGACTTTTGAAACATACCCCCGTACCAGTACACGATCACCTACTCCATTCAATCATGTTACTGGCGTGCTGACCCAGGGTGAGCACACAGCACGGGTGATCAGGGTTCATAATAACCTACCTAAGTGCTGGTTAAATTGAATGGATAAGTATAATTGACCATTAATTCGTCATAAGATGCCATTGTGTTGAATGATTTATAATCGATCCTTTCGACTTGAGCGAGGCGATGGATTACCGGATTAGTCAACTCCCGCGGCCACACAGTTAACGCGACTCATGTAACCCCGGTACGTCAGGTCCTTGACTCAGGGACCCTAGCAGTGCACACCGGACCCCTTTGCACTAGGTGAACTTGATTAAGACTTTGGTCTCCAAATGATCAGAAAATCGTCGATAAGCATTTGGTGCGTCATCGATATTGATGGTGCTGGAGAAAACGAAGCCTGGTTTAGCTCTGCCAACTCTCACAAGTTCCAGCAGTGGTCCAACATATAATTTGCTATCAACTATGCCACCTCGAATGGTCATGTTGTTTCCCCAGAAGGACGTCAGGGGAAAGGTTATAGATGGTGAGATGGTGTTTCCTCGTTGCACCCCCTTGGAACTCGCTTCAGCAAGGTATACCCCAATAACTGCCAAGCCACCATCCATGCTGGTGCACTTTGTCGCCTGTGTGATAACAAAGGACTGGTCGGGCTTCAATTCCTCATTGAGACATTCCTCCCCAACACAGTCTATAGTGCGCTGTACGCCGTTTGGTTCCCGGGCGAGAATCTGCGCCGACGGTTCACCCTTCGTGAAGTCGATCGGAATGGCTCCAATGGAGGCCGCAAGTTCCAGTCGGTCTCTAACAGAATCAACAGAGTACACACGAGAGGCCCCACGGAGGATTGCTGAATACGCCGCAAGTAATCCCACTGGTCCGGCCCCAAAGATAGCGACCCTGTCTCCGGCCTCAAAGCCCGACCAGGTCACTCCCGCCCAGGCAGTAGGGAAAATATCTGAAAGAACAACGAGATCCTTATCGGAGATCTTATCGAATTCTTTGTCAAGAACAATCAAGAACTTTTCCGCAAGAGGGACCCGCACAAACTCAGCTGTTGACAATCGCGTGGCTAATTAGATATAGGTCTTCTACTAATCACTCGAGCTTTTATTTCTCGCGTGATAGTAAAGCATGACTCTGCAGCGGCCCAACATACCTTGACAACCTCCTAAATTACCAAATTGAGGGCCTTCTCCGAACACTGCTATGGATTTCGTATCCAACCCGATGCCATCGAGAATGTCTGGGATAATAACCCGGTCCCCGACCTTCACAGAACTAACTTCTGCTCCGGCTTCCTCGACGATACCCATGGCCTCGTGTCCAATCGGATAAGGCACCTGATCACTGCCAGAGACGCCGTGGTAATTGTGCAGGTCGGAGCCACAGATAGCTGCTGAGGTGACCCGAACCACGGCGTCGGTTTGTCTGGTGATATGTGCCTTTGGGACATCGCGGACATTAACATTAAGCGGCTGGCCATCAAAGATGACAGACCGCATTGTTCCATGCTTGCTATGAGCCTCCGCCATGGTGCGTGAAGAGGTATTACGCCAATAAAGCGTTGTGAACGTGGGATTACCTTGGGTAGCCCAAGTAAAGCACGGAAGGATTTGCTAATAGATTTAAACTATCTAAGATTCATACTTGTTGGGACTGGAAAGTTGTTTTATTTTATATGATGGCGACCTGTACGGTCCCGTTAGTTCAGTACAAGGCCTACGTATGTACACTAACTGTTGTCATCTTTCAAAAATTTAACGTTTCATGACACGTCAGTCCTAGAAAATGCACAGGAAGTCCCAGACAATTCCAGTTGGGCTTCACTTCCAGTGATCATCTGGGAGGACCACAAACCCACCGGAAACGGCTGATATTTCTAGAGCATAACCTAAGTGTGACGTAGAATAAGATAAATAAAGATAAGCTTTATATGTAAGGAGCTCTAGAACAATCTGTTCGGAGTCTGCCGTCGCAGGTCGATTGGCTACCAAACCCCTTCATAGAAACTGGCGCATGTTTCCCCAAGGGACATCCCCCGAAAGGTGTACCGCGAGCATACCTATTAAACCCACTATCCTTCGTGCAATTTAGATATTCTGCAACCGGCTACATCCTCTTCCTTGCCGATTCCCGTTTCTCCTAATGCGGCCTCTAAATCGGCGGATTAGGTATGACCACTCCCAGAGCAGCCCAGACCGCTGCCACACTCAGCCCTTTTGCCTTTGACCAAACGATACGTGTTCCATGGTAGTCACAATAGCATAGGGCTGGCTAGCATTGTGGAGGAGGTCTATGTAATATATTCTATTCTATATGAGCTAGCAAACTGTCCTTTTACTAATACAAGACTGTAATACTAAGAACTAAATTCAAAACTAAATTACTCTCTAAATTCTCATATCTCTATATAGATTTGTAAAAGCCTACCCTATAAGACTATTCGGATAAAGATGACGGAATAATGGATCTTCGAGTCCCGAATTTGGGCCAGTATAGGGATTCTATCCAAATATTGAGTGATTAGATCAGATTAAGTTATATAACTTAGCATCCTTACTAACCTACTGGACTAGAATTACAGGGTTTTAGGTCATTTTTAATTGGTCCATTTACACCATCCAATTAAATATAGATGGATGATATGAGATATTGAAGATAAGTTGTTGCGGCACCAACGTCAGTCACTCAATATTATAGTATATGGGCACATTTCCAACTTAAGACAGAATATCATATAAAACTTACATAGTCGGAGTAAAAGAAACAAGTACTGAGCGTTTAGAAATTCACTAAGATATAATACTTTGAAGCTGGAATTAAGCTTTCGCAAGCCGTGGGCCCTAAAACTATAGTTTTTGAGGTAGTTTATCGCAAAAATGCGGCCTTGGTTATAGTTTTCTGATAGTTCTCTGACAAACAATTTGTGGTAGGTGGGCAAATCATGATTTACCAGTTTGATATTAAACTTAGCCAGCTTAATTCTGAGTCATTTTAATTAGATAGCCAATAACGCGTTCCTATAAGCGTTAAACTACCTCCCTTTACGTATTGATCACTCCTCAAAACCATACCGGAAAAAGCTTATGATTAATAATAAACTCGCATAGCTATCATGAACGGGAAAAGCGGTTTAAACCTTAAAGCTCAAGGTTTAATACCATCATGGGAAAAGTTGGGATTATGTTCCTTGGACATGGTTAAAGAGCCAAGTAGTATGCGGACATCTCCACCTGCTTATCAACTAGATCGCCAATCAGACAAGTGACTAAGATGAAGCAGAGCCCAGTCACAAAGACGGCTGTACCAAACTAGTTTTGTCCTTGAAAATGGGTTAGCGTAGCCGGCTGAGCTTGCTGAGGAAAGGATGATGAGTGGATCATGATGACATACATGAGGCTTGTCAGTCTCCGTACACGCGGAATGGGGTTACCTTCCCATCACTTATTCTGAATATCAGACAAACAACAGCAACTGACCAAGACCCAATCTCTCCGACATGAGCTCTCTGAAATTGAGTTTCGGTGCTGCTCTGTTCAGTATGAGTTTCCTAAATCCACAGGAAGTTCAAGGAGTCCTCAACTCTCTCAAAGAGAGCCATACTACACACCCTGATACCGCTGGAGATATCCCCCGACTTCTCCCGGGCGCTCCGGGGAGTTTATCAGAGAGACTAAAGCCTCAAGGCAAGGGTTTACGATTGACACTAAGATTCTTATGCAGGCTGTCAACCAAGGGGGCCATATGGAGAGCAGCGCGGTGGTACGATTGGTTGAAACTAGCCTGCGGCGTATGGGTGTCGATCAGGTGCGCTGTCTGTGTATGTCGGAAGGAACGTAATGGTAAGAGGACAGGTCACCATTATGCATATCCACTGTCCGGATCTCGACACTCCGTTGGAAAAGCAGGCCAGAACTATGAATGATTTATACCAAGCAGGGAAATTGAAACGCGTTCGTACATTGGCTCTCCCTTAAGTTTAGCCTAATGCAAGTTCTGTTGTTCGGCATTTCCAACTTCCAGCCTGACCTGCTTCAGAAATTCCTCGCTATTTGTGACGCCAACGGTTACGTTAAGCCTAGCATCTACCAAGGCGACTATATTGCGGTAAACCACGGAATGGGAAAGAAGCTGCTTCCAATTGTAAGAAAGTACGAAATCGCTTACAATGCGTGCCGGTGAGTGAACATCCCATAGTCGGGCACGGAGTAGGCTAACAGTCTACTAGTGTTCTTGCTTCCGGATCCCTTTCTGGCAAATACACCCATCGGACAGAGGAAGGGACACGACTTAGCGCCCATAACCCCCTAGGAGGGTTCATGCGACCGTTGTACGATCAAGATGTATTAGACGCGGCACTTAAAAGACTGGAGGAAGCTATGGAGGCCTTTGGAGTTACTACCATCGACGCAGCACTGCGATGGGCTTATTATTGCTGAGCACTGACAGAGAATGACGGGACAATATTAGGCGCCAGCTAGATCGCGCAGATCGAATCCAATTTAGAAGGCGTCGGGCGAGGCCCGCTGCCGGAAGAACTTCTACGTATAGTAGTTGTATATGCAAGGGATTGGAGCCAAGGAGGGAAATATGATTTGATATATACTGATTTACAAGATAGAATCGATCTACTGGGCTAGTAAGCATACTCTGGGGATAAGCGATAAATATGGTAAATAACGCTGGAGAAGAAGAGCTTATAGCCTTATGTAATATCCATAGCAGACAAGTGTGCGTTGTCTATTGACCCCTAGTATCTAAAGGTGTGTCTCCATTGAGTGGGAGCCCGAACTGATAAGCTTTGATGGGCGCAATCCGAGTAAAACCTGAGCATGCTACCATGTCTGAACAGGTGAATTATTGCCACCAAGAGAACCAAGTCTGACGGGTACGAATAAGGACCAAGTATCATTGAACGGCCGCATGTCCAGACGGCCTAAGGAGCTAATTGGCCGTTGCCGAGGTCCAGCACGCTAGTCGATGAGATGAACCCCCGGGGATGATTGACATCATCTTACTTTGCGAAAAGAGACTAGAATTTGATTACACCATATCCATCATTATATAGCACCCCCACATGCTGTAAATCGCACCACTGCTGATGTAAAACTGGCAATATTACCCCCGTGCACGATTTGTAGCGCTTGCATATGCTGTTATTGTAGGAGAATCAGACATAGGTCACGTTTATTCGACTGCTCAAAATAGGTTGGTATTTCACTACAAGGTAGTCCAGCCCCGGAACTTTCTAAGCAAACGGTCCCAAGAATACGAGCTAATGGTCACTGTTCTAAAGAAAGGAAAATAAGAAGATAGTACGAGCATAACGGAATATCGATTACGGCAATTATAGGAATTTACTTTTAACAATAACCGACATCGGTGCCAGAACTCCAATGGATGAGCAATGCACCCATGGTTTAGGGAGAAGTGACCGAGCCTGTTCCTTACGTCTTTTCAGTCTCTCCTGCTCCACCTGAGTTCGTCTTATTGAACCCCTTGGCGAGTACTCCCAATTCTTCGATGAACATTCTCAAAGTCGCATTTAATTAAATCAGCAGGAGTGGAGAAAAACAGCAGGACTGATCCCGTTGTATATGACAGATTATCAATGTTAAACATGCACAGCATAAAGCACACAATCGATGGTTATACTTCGTCCTTATCCAGATCCAACGACCATGTTAACAGTAAAGGTTTTGAATTCCAGGTAGCTTTTAACAGCCGCATTGCTGCCCTCACGACCTTCACTCCCGCTTCTTGGAAACAGTGATTGCCGGGAAATAACTATAATTGATGGCCAGAGCTCCAGACTCAAGACAGTCTGACACTTTCAATGCACGCGCAATATCACTTGTGTAGACACAGGCAGATAAGCCATAGTTGGTATTGTTTGCAAGTCGAATAGCTTCACCTTCAGATCTGAAGGTTTTAGTTCCTAACGCTGGATCGAAGATCTCTCCCTTCCAAACAGCATATTCAAGCGGGGGGTTTTTCTTTATTGTTGGTTCGACGAAATTATCATTGCTTTCCCCACCCGTGATGAACTTGACCCCATCTTCCCTACCCTGCTCGGAAAACGCCCGGATGCGCTCTGTTTGTACCTTATCAACCAACGGCCTAAGGAATGTCGCTTTCGCCAAAGGGTTGCCCATGTTGTTCTTGAACATCTCGAAGCGCGCCTTTAGCCCTGTCGCGAACTTTTCGGCGATATCCTCTTGAATGATGACCCTGGTCGCAGCAAAGCAGATCTGGCGGAATTGAGCTGAAGGTTCTGTGAGACATTCTCAAGCGCATTATTGAGGTCTGCATCAGAAACGATGATTCAGAGTGATTGACCCCCAAGTTCGAAGATAACGCCTTCAAGGTTACTGTTTGCCGCAGAGGCCTGGACAACATTACTTCAAACAAGACAGGGATACATGGTGCTCTGACGCACAGATCGATATTAAAAAAGTATGCATCATGTATCTGTCGTTTGATGATTTCCGAACCGGCTGCTGTGAGGCCGAAATTGAATTTGATGAACGGCTGCAGTTCTAACCGCTATATGGCTACACAGAACGATTTTGGGGACATCATGCACCTCATGCATCTCCGCAGACGAAGCAGCAGGCCTGGAATATCTTCAGCACGAATCCTTCATACATGCCGCCAGCCAAGCTATGCTGGTTACCAAAAAGCACCCGTGGATCTCCGATTTCAACAATAGATTGCCAAGCACGATGACCGGATTACATCTCACAGCGTACTTTGGGTTGATGGAACAATTGGTGGCTTTGCTTGAGAGGAAATATATCCCAGATGTAAAGGATGCGAACGGCTGGACGCCGCTGTCTTGGGCAGCACGTAATGAGCATGATACGGTTCCAAAGCTGCTTCTTAAGAAAGACGGCGTCAATCCGGACTCTCTAGACAGCAATGATCGGACACCGGTGGCGTTGTTTGTAATACATAAACATGAGGCAGTAGTAAGCCTGCTTCTGGACAAAAGAGATGTCAAGCCAGACTCCAAAAATAAGGAAGGCTGGACTCCACTGTCATGGGCCGCACGCAACGGGCATGAGAAGGTAGTGAAGGAACTGATGCAGAATGTCAAAGCCTAGAGGAAGGTTGAGGGTACTTCAATTGCCCGGAAACGACTATCACGGGCTGCATGATATGGCCATGACAAGGTGGTCCACCTGCTGTTTAAGGTACTAGGTGTTGAATGGGGCCATCAAGACAAATGCGGTTGGACACCGGTAACGCTTGCCGTGGCAGGTGGGCACAAGGCCATAGTCCAAGCATTATTTTCTGGCCCATATGTCCATACCATCGACATAAACTCTAAAGATGGTAATAGTCAAACTCCACTTTTGACGGCCGTACGGCGCGGGAACAAAGCTATGGTGGAGCATCCGCTCATGGACGAGAGAATTCAATCAGGCCGTCAAGACAACTATGGACGCATAGAACCGTCATAGGCCTTTGACGAGCATGATTCTGAATATTATTCATGTGCTATGTGAGAAATACACAAGTGAGGGATTATACTTCGTAATGATTTGGTTCTTCATCCAGCGATTGACCTTAAGACCTCATCGCCTGCAAATTCTGTGGGTCAAAGATTCCAGATGCTGACACTGACTGCCATTGCGGAATCTCTCAAGCGGAGATTTTGATATTTGTCAAGCGTGTATGTCTCCGTCGACCTTCTGTGATCAGCACTCCCATAGGCTGCTCAAACGTGCTATCAATAATGGCATTCCGGTGGAAATCCCTGACTAGCGTGCACATTATTCTACTATCGTATAATTTATTCATATAAAGTGTGACTGTATTATTAGAATTTCTCGTAAGTGAAGATCTAGTTTGAAGCGCAGATTATTTCAAAACTTTACTAATTTTACTTAAAGCTTTTTGAATATATCCCCAACTACTGTTGTTCTCACTTCTCAGTTAGATATATCATGTGACCGTCATACAAAAGTCACGTGAGGATGCGTGAGAGAGCCGAGGGCTTCGTAGATAGGTTAGGCCTTGTAGTTACCATATGGATTGACGTGATGGAGCATGGGAGTACTAGAGTGAAACATGTCATGTGATTACCATATAAGATCAACGTCATGAGGCATGGGAGGCGGTGACCTCACCCCTAGGATCTCATACTAAACACGTAGATGGAGAAGTGGTAAAAGCATAAAGCAAATTCAATGCTGTGTTCGTTATGTCAAAAGTCAATTTTAGAGTATGTGAGAGATCATATAGAAAGGCATACAAGCCTGAGGCCTCACACTTCCTCCCTTTTTATTACATTCCGGACCAACTTCCCCTCCATAAGACATAAACAGCCAACAAGCGGTGACAGCCAGCCATAGATATTACCAGCCAGCCACAACGTGGATCTTTGTGTATGCAGGAGATCGAGGTTTTCAACTACCCACATCAATTACTTTTCGCAATACTACCCCCCCACAGTTTTGACCGGCCCCTTGCATGCCTACCCGTCATCAGCAGGTGCCCACTTGAAATGTGGGAACCACTGGGAGGCCATTAGACTCAGCTGCTCTGTTGGGAGGTGAAGGTGAGCTGCAAGGAAACCTCAGCTCACGAAGTTCAGAACAGGAAAATATCGGTCAAAGCGTGTTGGGCAATGGCTCCTGTCATTATGAGCAATCCGTTATAATCGGACGTTGCGATGCGATGGTACTTCACCAATATTGCCCGCAACAATGGAGCCCTCCGGAAGTGCCTCGGTTTGTTCTCCCATTTGTATTGGACTAACTGACCACCACACTCACACCTCTCTTCCTCTAGAGTCCCGCGTCGCTTCAATTTTCTACTCATGATCCAGCTTGCGATCACTGTCGGTGGAAGAAAATCCGGTGTGACCGGGCCCGGCCGCGTTGCGGAGCCTGCCGCCGGGCATGTGTCGCCTGCGAATACACCTCCAGAGACCGAAAGGTCGTTGCCCCTGGCTCGATCAACTCTGCTGACGAGGGGGGCATCAGCCCTTTCGGCAATCGACTGGCCCAGTTAGAGAGTTCCGTGGAGCGCTTGACGCAGATAATCGAGCACCGGTTGGTGAACGAGCCGCACTGCTACCAGGAAGATCGACCCGCGCCCCGTCGAACGTCCACGGCTCCCTTGGTAGAAAATGATCCTCAAGGTCGTGTTCTCTTCACACTTGGGGATGGGCAACAGGTTCTTTACGGACCCTACTCAAATGTGGCTCATTGCCTGGGTATTCTGCGAATATTGAGGTCCGGACGACATGGCCAGACGGCTGATGCCGACCCCTTGCTGAAGCAGGTATCGGAGTTGTGCAACCTGCTTGGACCTCAAATCTTCAAGACTTCCTCCGCCGTGGAACCCCTTCGACTCCCGCACCTGTCACAGCAGGCCGTGATGCAAGCAACCGAGCGGTACTTGGCCCAGGGTGGCTATCTACAACACTTGTTTCATCCGAGCATCCTGCGTTCACGAATTCAAATGTACTTCCTTGGCAACCTGGGGGTGTCCGAAAGTGGTATGGAGCTGTGCCTGCAGTACCTGCTGCTACAAACCACCACTGAAAGTAAAGGAAATGGGTCTGACTGCCGTGACCACGGCCTACCACAGACGAACTCTGATCCCTTCTGTGCCACCGCCAGGGCGGCGTTGGTGCAGGGTCAGCTGCAAGCAAACACGGTCGTCAATATTCAAGCTTTGGCATGCATTGTGAGTGACTTCCGTCCGGGGAATGGCAGCCTGAAGCCTAAAGAACAGGTGATCGGGCCTGGCCGTGGGAATTTGTAATATACTAACAGGAGCGGGTAGACGATCGTCGCTTTACAGGCAGAAGACCTTCTGCTGGCCGATGAGGCCTTTCATAAATGTTGTGCCATCACTCAAAGGATGGGTCTGCATCGAGAACGCCAGTCAAACGATGAGCATGTCGAACAAGCCGAGGAACGAAGGTTGCTCTTCTGGACCATCTTCATCCTAGACAAAGCTTTCGCTTTCACCCTGGGCCGAGCATACATGCTTCCAAGCTTTGATTGCAACACTCCAACTCCGGATATGTCTCTCCATAGTGTACCCGTGGAAGGCTTGTCGGCAAGGATTGGTGTGGCACTCATTCAAGAACGCGCGTATCAAATGCTGTTAGCCTCGGGGAACACCCACAATAATCGGACTCGTCAGGAAGCCATTGTTGACGTGGTGGACCGATTAGAAGGTTGGATGGAAACCCATTTTGCGTCCTCCGACCTTTCCGGTGGCTTTGTCCCGGGGGCTTTGGACTCTACAACCCAGCGGGCGCTATTATACGAATACCACACAACGCGTTCCATTGTTCTCGCGCATAACATGTTGCCCGACGCGCCCAACGAAGTCCTGGCCAGCGCTCGAAACGCTCTGTCCCAACTCTGCCCACCCTCCGCTCAGGGGAGTACTCTATTCTCAGATACTCGGTGCAGTTGGTAAGAATTCTCTGTCCCCCATTCCCGTCCTTGCTGGATTGATGACATGTCTAGGCCGAAAGGGAGTTATAGTCTATTTCCTTTTTTCATCGTCGCCAAACACATTCTGCTGGCGACACAGGATGCACCGGACCGTAGGGACTGGATCAGTTTTCTCCACAACACCATCTCCTGCTGGGAGTCCAGTCACAGCCTTCGTATTAGCATCGCACTGTTAAAGCTTGTGGTACCCCCGTCCGACGTGGCTGGGTATCAGAGGGCTCAGAGGTCGATGGGAAGTCCGTTTTGGAACTGCCCCGAAAAATCACCTCGATTAGACTCTGGCCAACATTGGGCTTCCTCACTGCCGTTGCCAGGTGTCACAAACGAGCAGAGGGACCAGCAACAGCCAGTTATGGAACTATCGCTCGACGCCATTCTATCTGCAACGAGTGATCCATTGTGTCCGGGCATCATATGTCAAGATAGCGGCGACCCGTTTTCATTCGTTGGCATTGCCAGCCATCCCGAGACGATCGATTCCAACCTGGATGCTATTGACTCTTGTTTAGCGGCGTCCACCCCACATGATACGTTGCGACTACCGGGACTAACCCGGTGATTTCTGTACCTATGTTGTATCAGAATTGCTCAAAAGCGAAGTAGATTTGTATTTTCTCAAGCCCGGCTATATGGAATGAAGGGCTAATGGCATGAATGTTCACCTTGTCTATTACATCATATCTAAATATAAAAAATGAGAACAAAATAAAAGCATGGTTATTGTGTGACATGCTGACCATGTGTGACCGTGATTATGCTCTGTACTGAACTGCATGCCAAGTCTAAAAGGCATCGTTTGCGAGCTTGTGTTTAGACAGAGCTGAAGTTGGCTAGACGTGTCTTGTGGCCGTGTTCGTGGTCCGACGCGGCCGCGGTCCAGAGGTCAGCAGGACCAAGGGATGATGCCACTTAGCACTGCACTCATGTCATGACTGGCTAGCTGATTTGTTTCAAAAGCCCATTAAGAACAGTTTCCGCTCCGGGATTCAGGCGGTAGCAAACCTCATATTCGTTGGGCTCCTGCATCATCCCTACGGGGACTTGTCGCCCGCCCGCCCGCCCGCCGGCCTTCTGTTCTCTGGCCACCATGCCAGTGACCAGTTCGTAGGCCAGGTTTGCCGCCTGCATAGTGACAGTCAGTTAGCCATGGAGATTCATTCCTTGACCCTTGAAATAACGGCTTCCGCATTCATCGAGTGAACTTACCAGATACGCAGTTTCACCCCCCGGGGTGTCGTAGGCCGGGGCCACCTCGACGATATCAGCTCCAACAATGTTGAGATCCATGACGCCCCGCAAAATCTTGATCATCTCGCGCGTGGTCCAGCCACCCGGTTCGGGGGCTCCCGTCCCTATGTACGTAACGCGAATCAACAATCAACGGTCTTGCACCCTCGGGACAGAAGGAGAGGGACAGCAAATGTAAACATACCTGGGGCAAACGCGGGATCCAGTACATCGATGTCGATGCTCATGTACACTGGCTGATCTTTGGGAATATGCTGATGAATGCGATCGATGATGCCGGCCGCGCCAATGGAGTCAACCTCGTCGGCAGCAATGCGCAAGAATCCCTGCTTGTCGTCGTCATCTAAGTCCTGGAAGGAGTTCCCACTTAGGCGAGTGTTGATGCCAGCATGCAGTGACGACGAATTGGAGATGAGTCCTTCCTTCATGGCATTCCAGAAAACGGAGCCGTGATTGAACTGGGATTGCATCGAAGTCCAGGCGGAGGGGTACCGATCGGGATGCAACGAGTCGAGATGGGAATCGAAGTGCAAGAGTGCCATGGGCTCGCCGTACGATTCGCGGAGAGCTCGGAGGGCGGGCAGTGCCACGAGATGATCTCCTCCGAGCGTGATAAGCTTGGGCTTGCCCGTCCCGGTGGTCGTCCTTCGAGAGCCCAGCTCTCGGTAGGCCTCGGTCATTTGATGGATGGCCACCGCATTGTCAAAGGGGGTGACGGGGATGTCTCCACAGTCCAGAACCTTCGCCCATGACTGATACGGGTTAATTTGGGCTGCAGCGTGAAACGCGCGAGATGGGATATGACGGGCAGAAGCGGTGCGAATGGCACGAGGGCCCATGCGCGCACCTATTAATGTGGTAAAGAATGGTATCAGACAGGTTTCATAAATAGTCCAATCCAATAGGGGCAGAATATACCAGGTCGGTAGCTCACGGCCGTATCGAAAGGCGTGCCAATGATCCCTATGTCAAACGGCGTGTCGGGATTTGTGAGACAATGGACATGCTCCAAGTGGCCGAAAGTGGTAATGCCCGAAAATGCCCACTAAGAAATCAAATTAATCCAAATGTTACGCTCATCTCTGTCGATCGCTCTTTCATGGGGCAGTGGCTCTATGGCGGACTCCAACTTACATCCTCACCCCAGCGTTCCTTGAGCTCCTGCACGTGGGCCGGCGAAGCTTGAGTGGCGGAGGACCCTCCAATAAGACCAAAAATGGACCACCACAGAGAGTAACGCATGATTTGGAGACCAAGTGTTTGGTGTGTCAGCAATTATGTGTAGGGTGGTAATTGGAGAACCGGTGGGGAGGGAGGGACGCGTAGGGTTTGGGTGGTTTGGCCAATCGATTTATAGCGACATACCTCGCCCTCCCCGAATGCGTCTTCAGCCTTGGGTGCCCCCATACTCGGCCCGCCCGATGACGCCCTTGCATGCACGGGGCCGTCATAGATCGCCCAACGACCAATTAATGGTCGGAGGCCCCCGGGGTGTGCAGCTTACTCCTGCACCTTCCGGAGACACTAGGAGGCTCCCGTTTACAAATCCAAAACCCACGAACCCCCCTTGCTTGCTGGTCCTCGTGAATGCCGCTCTCCTCCTCTCGCCGCTTTCCCTTCGTTCCTCTTCCCCCCAATATCCAGTTTCTATGGTTCTTTGCCTTTCTTTCGATGCTTCGCACATAGTCAGAAAGTCTCTTTGGTGACTGTGGCTGTACAACCTGCCCTATTCCCTATTGTTACGTCTTCACGGGATACCTCCCGTACCACCTAACTAGGATGGGCGACATGTACTCGGAAGCCGAGTTGGAGCGACTTGGTCGCATGAGGCCGACTATCTTCCCTAATTTGCTATCGGAACTGGGATTTTGCTTTTCGCTCGTGCTCTCGCAGATTATGGCAGTAAGTTTCAGCAGGGTTTCTTCTGTTCACCGGTATAGACATCCGTCTTGGGGGACCTATGCGCTGACCTGCATCAGGAATACTTCATTTCCGGCTTCAATGTTCTCCTCCCCTCTTTAGCTGAGGGACTGGACATCCCAGAAGCCTCGTCCAGCTGGCCATCGAGTGCCTTTGCCCTGACGGCGGGTGGTTCGTTGCTCTTCTTCGGCCGTCTGGCGGATCGCTATGGAGGGTTTGTCGTCTTCGCAGGAGGGTTGGCCTGGCATCTTGTCTGGTCGCTCGTTGCCGGTTTCGCCAAGAATGCCCTCATGATGTATTTTTGTCGGGCGTTGCAGGGTTTTGGCCCGGCTGCTTTTCTTTCGGCTGGAATCATGCTCTTGGGCACTACCTATCGTCCGGGATGGCGCAAGAACTTGGTGTTCAGTATCTACGGCGCCTGCGCGCCCATCGGATTTGTCGCCGGAATCTTTGTCTCCGGCATGACTGGACAGTTTCTCGACTGGCGCTGGTATTTTTGGATCGGGACGATGTTGCTCTTCCTGGCTCTCATCGCAGCTGTCCTCTCCGTCCCAGCCAGTATTCGCCGCAAGCCTCCGCACCCTGACATGTCCATAGATTGGGCTGGCGCCGGTCTCTTCTTTTGCAGTCTGGTGCTGATATTTTTCGCCATCAACGATTGCGGCCATGCACCCGACGGCTGGCGAACACCTTACGTGTATATCACGTTGATTGTGGGCTTTTTTGTGCTGCTAGCTGCGATCTACGTCGAAGGTTGGGTGGCCAAGGAGCCACTTCTTCCTCTTAGTCTCTTCCGCATCCCCCAACTATCGTCCCTACTCCTCGGACTGTTCTGCTTCTACGGCGTGTTTGGCATCTGGCTGCTGTACTGTGTGGAGTACATGGAGAATATCATGCACGCCTCGCCCCTGCTCGTGGTAGCATACTTTGTCCCCTTCGCATTAGGTGGCATCTTCTTTAGCCTGATTGGAGGCTTATTCCTGCATGTTCTTCCCGGCACGGTTCTTCTTGTGATCTCGGGCATTGGATGGCTGATGGCACCACTGCTATTTGCTATCATGCCGCTCGGAGCCAGCTACTGGCCCTACGTATTTCCGGCCATGATCTGCGGCACCCTGGGCATGGATGTCACGTACAATGTGACCAACATCTTCGTTACTACCTCTCTTCCCGAGCGACAACAAGGGCTCGCCGCTGCGGTCGCCAACAGCGTTTTGTTCTTGGGCATTAGTTTTTGGCTGGGGTGGGGTGACTTCACCTCGGCGCAGGTGAAGGGAGACTTGCGCTCGAGATACCAGGCTCCACTCTGGATGGCGGTGGGGTTGGCCGGGCTGGGACTGATCATCATGGTGCTCTTTGTGAAGATTAAGCCCGCCAAGAGTGAGGTGACAGTGGATGAGAAGGAATGTAACTCAGGAGACACGGAGATGGTGCCCAAGCAGGAGACAGACATTGCAGTGAATGGACGGGATGGGGATGTCCTGCAATAACTGGGACAGGATTCGTTCATTCTCACTATCACCCCCGGGGTTGATATGAAATTGTCAATCACCGCTTACGCTCTGAACGCTTCCTTTCAAATACTACATTCCGGTGGAAAGGGTCTCGTATTGCGAGAAATAAACCTTTCCTAGAGTATTCGTATAGATATTGACAACCCCCCCCCCCTTTTTTTTGGAAGGTGTTCACTCGAGTACGGATTTGCATGGATTCTTGTACACTGGGTGTAACCTAAAGCTACTACAACATCATAAAGTGCAGAAGGCTCTGTATGTGTCAAATTATTCTACTATTTCTAGAAGATCAATATATCTTTAATAAAAACGGTTGTTGAGTTGAGATATTTATGTATTGCAATATTCTATGCATTCGGTATGTGACGACGAATAATTCTGTAGAACATGTAGGTTATCTATCATTTTCTCCTTATCCTGTATTATGTATCTTTTCTTATAGGTTCACATACAAAGATATTTTGTATATTTGTTCCTTCGCTATCCCTGACTTCGAAATTCTTGTTGGATGATGCCAACAAGTTATCATATTGTATTATATATACATATATAATTTCAAACACCGAAAATATTGTTTTCCCTTGTAGATGACATTGTATATAATAATATATATAGCTGCATATCTTACTATAATACTAGTAGCTAACCTATATATTCTAACAGGTACTACACAATCAAAATGAGCAAGACTAATCTAGATCTTTCACCTTTGTACATAATTCAATGATTAGTAGTCTAAGATGACTGAAAGGGAACATATGGAGCTAATATTCCAATTTACAGATGTATGATGATAGGTAACTACCCTATTACATAGGAAAGCTTAGATTAGAGATGATATTATGATTTTATTTGTGATTGATAAATTAAAAAAGGGTAGGAGAGATCGAAGGGCAACTTCGGCATGATTGAGATTCCATAAACATAACAAAATCAGAACATGAAGCACCTATCCAGCAAGATATACTTTGGAAGGTGAATCCAAGTTTTTAAAGACAAAAATTATCTACATATATATATCTTGTACTAACACATCTACATTATTATCTGAAAGTACAATAATAGGCGGCTGTAGGATTCCGACTGAAACTTTCGACTTAAATTATAACATGTTGAATTGCTGACGCTATTACTAGAATCTAGATAATAATCATGATCTTCTTGAAATAAGCATCTTACGCCTTGTTTAATGACCCAGTATAGCCCGTGAATGGGTTTTGATTTGTAGACTAATAGATATTATATTGGATGGGTTATTGCTATGTGAGGAACTACAATCTCTAGAACAGATTCCCCAGCAGAACTTGAATCATTATAGGATTATACCACCTCAGAACCTCTTACTATTACCAAATGCTATTATTTCTATTATTAACAGATACTACCAATGTTGCGGCTAACATTCCGGTTCTCGGCAAGGGACTGTCCTGACAAAGAGACACGGTGAAGAATGCTGTCCGTGCTGCACATTTCGGTGAGACGCGGATGGGGAAGATCTCCGCAATGAATTGCTTAGCATCTGCAGGGCTCGGGGTGGGGCCGAAGATGAACACACTGCTGATCCTCCAATCAACCACTGCAAGGGAGTTTAGGAAAGGAGTTCGGTGTTGTCCGTAGGAAGAGCAGCATAGACCACGAAGGTACCGAACAACACTTATAAAGTGTTGTCTGAAATGTATCATCATCTCAACACAATCCCCTCCCAAGCAAACAACCTCCATTCATCCATCCCTTGCAAATCCACCACCACAATGACCAACACTCAGTTTGGCGAAGAATGCGACATTGTCGCTGTCCTGACCCCTAAGCCTGGCAAATTGGATCGAGTGGGTTACCCTCCACGGTGGCCGCAGGGACCTATTCTGCTACACTGTGCCTCTCAAACTTACTGACTTAATCATGTCTGTAGGTTGCTGAGCTTCTCACCAAGCTTACCGCATGTGTCAAGAAGAATGAACCCGGTGTTTTGAGTTTCCACTTGTACAAAGACTTCGATCGTGAGACCGGTCAAGAGGAGCTGGTTTTGGTTGAGAAGTAGGCTTCTGACCTTTTTCCTTATTTTTATTTTTTCTTTTCCGTTCATTTATTGACTCGCCCGGTCGCACGCATGCTGACTCTACTAGATACGTCAACAAAGAGGCATATGATCTTCACGCCGAACTGCCCGACTTCCAAGCCATGCATGCTACTTTCCGCTCCGAGGAACTCATGGCCAAACCCATCCTGATCAAGAGTGTGAAGCCATTGGTGGGGTTTGAGCGGAGCTAGACTAGTGGTTGCCTATTATGCATGATTCGGAGGGTTTCTCCGGCAGAGTAGAGGAGTAGATAGATATAAATACTATATCCTACTTCGCAAAATCGCTTTCGATTTGTCGTAGAATAAGCCCCCAGTGCTAGCTACTTTCTATAATCGTTCTACATTCCTCCTTCCATATTCCAACTTCAATACCGAACCACCAGCGAAGAGCATAGTCGCAACCATGAACATCCGCACAACCGTTGAAGCATTTTGTGCCGACTTCGCTAACGGAACCCACCCGACCACCATCCTTGACTCGCGCTTCACTAGCAACCCTGAAATCTACGAGTACGGTCCCAGCTGGGCACGATCCCGACTTCCCTACCTGGGACGGTCCTGGACTGGACGACGGTCTTCACCTGCGTCGTCATCCGAGGAGGACACCACTTGTGATGCCTACTTCGACGTCCTCGGACAAACGCTCTTCTTCGAGCCGGACAATCGGGAGCCGACCTCTCCGCCTGATCAGTTCTTGGTCTCGACGTCGAATGGGAGTGACGATGCTGTCATGGTCAAACTGACTTCGACAGTTGGAAGCAATGCGACGGGGAAGAAGTGGGTGGAGACATTTGTGTTTTTGTTTGGAAAGTTTGATGCCCAGGGTAGGATTGGCAAGTTGGAAATTTGGTCGGATTCGTTAAGTGCTTGGGTGAATTCTGAGTAGCTGATTTCGTTGTGCACTACTTGACATTCTGGAATTGTCACTGTCTTCAATGGGCTAAATGGGCTTAATGTACGCAGCTACTAGGTATTAACATCTACTCTGGAGACACAACACATATAAGCCGGACGGATGGAGAAATTAAGATTGTCAACTATTCAGGGGTACACTGTTCAATCGACTGTTATGCTCTCGAATCTAACCGTCAACTGGTTCCCCTTTGGTCCTGAGATAAAGCCGTCCTCCTGCTCAATTCCCTCGTCATTTACAATATGTGTCCGGAAGTTGGCGTAGATGGCTGCCACCACATACTTCAACACTAAAGAGAAGGAGAGTTAGCCAAGACAACAGCGGCAGCAACAACAACACTTACAGTACAATGCCAAATTACTCCCAATACACATGCGCGACCCGCTCGAAAATGCCCAGAACCAGCGCTCCTTTTTGTCGGCGCCCTCCAGGTTTTCCGATAGCCAACGCTCTGGATGCCATTCATCTGGGCGCGGGAATACCGCAGGATTGCGGTGCAGGCTCCACGCAGCTGCGCTTACGCGTACTCCCCCCGGGATATTTTCATACTGACCCAGCGTGGTCTTGCTATTCTCCGGGGTAATCCGCGGCTGACTACCAGCCACTGGGGCGTGAAGTCGCAGTGTCTCCATAATGATTGCATTCAAGTAAGGCAACTCGTCCACGTCCTTTGCCTTGGGCAGCGTATCCTCCTCCTTCGATGCCGACCATGCAAAAGCTTCGGGACCCAGCTTGCTGCGCAGTTCTTCTTGAAGACGAGCCAATGCTGCCGAATTCTGCGACAGCTGCCACGTCATATAAAGTAGTGTCGTGGCAACGGTTCCATTGTTAGCAATAAGTTGATCTAGCAACTCACTGGTAACCTGCAATTGTTGTGGGGACCTTGGCTTCCGGAGAGTATATGCTACATTTCCACCAATGCTGTCGGAGACGTCGTCATTGATTACCGGATTCTGGGTGATGCTGGGTGTGGTAGACATGCCCTCTTTTTCGGTGCTCTGACGGAGTCTCTCATAGACTACTGGCAAGTGTCCCGGCGGCAAGGAAGACCCCACTGCCTTTTTGGCTAGCATCTTTTCCGCGCCATCGCTCATATTGAGACACCACGCAGCGATTTGATCGTGTGCAAGGTGACGTGCCTGAGGGACAACGGAGATCCCAAGTTTGGCCAGCCACGCAGTGAGATCGGGCAACTCCTGCAACCAAAACAGCGACACCGGGTGTTGGTCGTCCAGATACAGCTCCTGCCAACGGGCGGCAGCTGCCGGGTCGATCACGAACTGGGTGCCGGCTGATAATCCGAAGAAATACGATGTAGTCAAATCCATGGCAGTCGCTTTGTAAATAGGATAAATATCCAGTGGCTGCTTGGATTTGGCATGGCTGGCGAATTGCGAAAGTAGTCGTCGTTGCACTACCTCCTGAATTATGGCCGCCGCGTCGGGTGAGGATTGTAAGAATGATTTGGAATAGATGTTCGAGATGCGCTTCTTCCGCATCGCATGCTCAGGGGAGTGTAAGGAGGAGAACATATTCAACGCTCTGTGCATAAGAACGGTCAGCAGCGTGACAATACCAAGGCACGAACCCTACAAACCCGTAGTTCACGAAGACAGAGTAGAATGGCGGTTTCTCGAATCCCTTCCCGTACACTGTCTTAATGCCATCGTTCACGCAGTTGATGCTAACTTCATTTGGCGCCAATCGGACGACCTCGCCGTGTTGTTGATGCGCGCGGAGAACCGTGTTATTCTCACGAATCCGATACCTTGCCCACAGGATCCACAGGGACGTATATGGAGCCAATGGATGAGCATTAGGGATCTTCGCCAGTGGAGAAAGGAAGCTAGGATAGATAATGAAATGGTACAAGAAAAAGGCCACCAGCGCGACGCCTGCACACGCAGGCACGCTGGGCAGAATACTGGCTTCCATGGGTATGATTGTGCTCACAGTTGTAGGATGTAGGGGAGAACTAGCTAGTTATGGTGAAAGTGTGCAGCCATATGCTGTGATCAGGAATAAAAGGCAAATTAGAAAAGCCAATATGCAGACGAGATCACGCAAGTCGCTGGACATCGATATTATAGCGGCAGTACCTTTCGGAGGCCTCCGAGAGGTGCATATTCATACAATAATCGTTGTACAACGTAATTCCGACTATATGCAGCACGTGAGCATTCTGCGGCTGGCTGATTCAATGTTAAGCGCTCGCTGATCATTTGGTTACCCCCAACTTACGGGGCGAGGAGGTGGCTGTGTCGTGACATTTGCCTGTGATCAGGAGGAGATCCTTCGATCAGCCCTAGGGAATTAAACAAGTAAGTCAGCCCTAATGAAGTCGGCGTTGCGCGTCCAACGAACCAGGAAAGGAAAACCAAATGTCTATCCTGCCTTCCTACATTCCAGCAAGAAAAACAACGCATGTCGGAAGCTTCCGCGGTATGCAGAACCACTACGACAGCTACGTACACCATGGTGCTGAGTGTATGGAGATCTTGGATGTCATAGTCGATGTGTCTATTCAGTTACACAGACGATGCTTAAAATGCCCGGCCTGGTGAGCCAAGTTCCAGTCTTCGAGGACATGCTCAGATTAAATCATCTCTATTTCTCCAGACCTTCAACACCAACCATTAACTCACCGTAGTCATGGCTGCCGGAACTGTTGTGACGTTGGACATGGGAAAGTTTTTCCTTGGGAGTGAGGAAGAACGAGCCCAGTTTGCCCGCGACTTATTGCAATGCTTTGCGTCCCAGGGGTTTGTCAAGCTGGTCAACCACGGCGTCCCTGATCTTGCAATCGACAAGGCATTTGAATGGGTAAGACAGTCCTGCCAGTGGCCCGCGTTGCTCGCTACAAGAATTAAACTAATAGCTTTTTGTGTGAAAAAGAACCGAACCTTTTTTGAATTGCCAGAGGACATTAAGAAGAAGTATCCTCATCCACCCTGTGCCAACCCCAATCGTGGATGGGTAAGCCTCGGACAAGAGAAAAGCTCAGCGATCAAAGACTTCGAGAAAGGAGTTTGCAAGGAGCACAAAGAGGTGTTTGATGTCAAGGTAGGCATTCCAGTCATCCATCCATAGACCATCAACCGCCCTTGTGTGCTCACCCGCTGATTCGATAAAAGGAGTCGTTTGATATCGGAAACCCTGATGACCCATTGTACGGCAACATATGGCCGGATGAGAGTGAAGTCCCAGGCTTCCGCTCATTCATGGAAATTTTCTATGAGCTTCTTCACGTGGCTCATTTGAACATTTTGAAGGCTCTGGAGATGGCCCTGAGCACGAAAGACCAGCCATTCGAGGTGATCAAGCATTGCATGCCCAATGTCAGCGAGATGCGGTTAAACTATTATCCCAAGGTAGATATCCGCGACCTGCGATCAGGCCACATGAGCCGGATTTCCGAGCATACGGACTTTGGGACCGTCACCTTGCTCTTCCAGGACTCCGTCGGAGGACTGGAAGTTGAGGACCAGTCGAACTTGGGCACCTATTTCCCTGTGACGTGCGAGAACAAGCATGTCATGCTGGTCAATATCGGGGATAGCCTGCAGCGGCTAACGAACGATTACCTCACATCGGTCAGTCATCGCGTGACGCTGCCCATCTCCGCGCGGGAGCGAGAGGAAGGACAGTTGAAGGAACGCATGTCTGTCACGTACTTTGCCAAGGTGGCTCGCGATAACTCCATCTACCCGTTTGGGCAATTTGTGACGGAGACCAATCCGGCCAAGTATCCCCATATGACGGCCTATGAGTGGAACCAGATCAAGTTGGAGAAGATCTACGGAGCTTGCTAGATGGCCAAGATGGCCATGACCTTTGCGGGGCATCATGAAAAAAGAATGAGCGAACAGAAAGACACCCAGATGGAAGGAGGCATGGCCCTAAATTAAGGAATAATAGATTGTGCAGGTCATTGATGCGATTCACGTTATGGCAGTGTTTGTTTTAAGATGCGGGCGAAAGTTCAAAAGTCCTAGGCCAGAGTATATAATTCATCAGTACCCAGTCCTAGCAGCATCTTCGTCAACATTTATGACCATATTCCTAATATTGAGCCAATTATTATGACACATGTCCTGACAATGTCATCTACCTGATTGTATTCATATAAAGGAAGTTCTCAGGGAGGCTTAGAAACACAATAGACTTGTCAATGCAACTACCGTAGTTTCCGCCTGATTCGGCCACCCATGTAATGCCATGCTCAATGTCCTGTTTTGAGGTATATCTATTGCAGTAATGGTCATAATTACTGGTCTGTAACTGAGTATAAAGTCGTACCAGATACTATTGTGTATATTATTCATTTTTTCGACTTTTTCTACTTCTTAGTAACACTAATATAATAACGTAATAGCCTTAGAATTATATATTTTATTCCCACCATATAGAGTACACTTTCGAATGCCAAAACCGCAGAAAGTGAACATACGCAATAATATCATCTACTATCTTCATAATTAGTATGCCTTATTATAACCACCGCTGACCTCTGGTAATCGATATATCCTATTCTCAAAAAGGCGTATTTTGTATGGCATCACAAGTGTGGCCAAGTCGGTGGGGCGGAACTAGTTCGTTAGTAATCTATGCAGAGCAGTATTAGTAAGAGGACATAACGTAAGCGGCAAGCGAGTCGGCCACGTAAGCGAGTCGGCCACCCCATCGAAACTCGTCCACGCCTCCGAAAGCGATGCTATCCAAACAGCCATTACACCACCAAAAATGCCTAAATCATCAAAAGAGTTGGTGGAACAAGAGGGCAGGCTCTGTTTAGCAGTTGAATCTATTCAGAAAGGTCATACAAAATCTATTCGTGAAGTTGCACGCGTTTTTCAAGTTCCCCGATCAACACTTCAAGATCGCCTAAATGGACTCAAATTTCGCAAGGATACTAGAGCCAACTCACATAAATTAACCTCTATAGAGGAAGAATCACTTGAAAAATGGATTATATCGCTAGATCAACGTGGTGCACCACCAAAGCACTCTCAAGTCCGTGAAATGGCGAATCTACTACTTCAAAAGCGTGGTCAAAATACAACTATCTCTGTCGGACAAAAATGGGTTACCAACTACATCTCAAGGCATGATTCCTTGAAAAGTCGATATAGCCGTCAAATCAACTACAAACGAGCGAAGTATGAAGAACCTAAAGCTATTCAGATGTGGTTTAAACGCGTACAAACTGCTATATCAACATACGGCATTGTCAACAAAAATATCTATAACTTCGATGAAACTGGCTTTGCTATGGGTATCCTAGGTACTACTAAAGTAGTAACACGCTCAACATATCAAGGAAGACCCTTTCTTATACAGCCAGGGAATCGCGAATAGATAACTTCAATTAAGTGTATCAACGCTGCTGGATGGGTGCTACCAGCATATTTAGTATTAAAAGCAAAAACACATATTCAAGCTTGGTACGAAGGAAGTCTACCATCTTCCTGGAGGATTACTATATCCTCAAATGGATGGACTACACGAGAGATTGGGAAAGCATGGCTCAAAAATCACTTCATTCCATATATCAAAACACGAAGAACAGGTTAATATAGCCTTCTCGTACTTGACGGGCATGATTCGCATCTAACACCTCAATTTAATAACATATATTATCAAAATCAGATTATACCTGTCTATATGCCTGCTAATTCCTCACATCTATGTCAGCCTCTAGATGTTGCATGCTTTTCGCCTTTGAAGAAGGCCTACAAAGATCAAGTTCAACAGCTTATCCGTACGGAATATCATCATATCGAGAAGGTTGATTTTCTTGACATGTATCCAAAAGCCCATGCTCAAGCGTTTACTAAAGCAAATATACAAAGCGCTTTTAGAGCTTCAGGTCTTGTTCCTCTAAATCCCAGCAAGATACTAGAGAATATGATTTTCAAGAAGACCAGCCGTCCGAGCAGTCAAAGCACCTCCTCTTCTTCGATCTTTACAAAAACACCAAGAAATTCGAGGCAATTCAAGAAGTACGAGTCTACACTATCTCAATTACTTCAACAACAAGATACTCCAGCTACACCAATACAGTCAGCCTTATCGTACATCTTCAAAGGCGCGGAGGTTGCTTTGAATCATACAGTACTACTTGAGCATGAAAATCGCCAACTACGTGAAGCTCTTGACAAACGAAACACCAAGCAGAAACGCAATCAACATCAAATGGATGATTTGAATGGCCTCACTGTACAAGAAGCGCTTGAGGCTTTCAACCATGCTAGAATATTGGAAGAACAGGCTGGGGATGCAGGCCCTAGGGAGGATCAACCACGCCGTCGGGCGCCTCCTAGGTGTAGCGCGTGCCATATTGTAGGGCATATACGTACTAGATGTCCTAATCGAGCAGTATCTTGAGATAGAGCGCTTTTAAGCGTTGAATTAGGTGTTCAAAAAGCATCATTTTGTATGTAAATCAGAATGATGATATACTACTAGCGGAGGTGGCCGACTCGCTTACGTGGCCGACTCGCTTGCCGCTTACGTTAACTACTAACTAGTTGTTCACTAATTCTACCGTGGCTTGGCCCACTGATCAGGATTCTTGAGTTGAGCATCAGCCTTGGCAATAAATCCTTAGTCGGAAGAAGGCTTTCATCAACTACCACATCATCGGCGCCTCCTCCAATGTCCGCGCCTCGACGTGCGAGCATCTCTGCAGATAAAGGTATGTATATATAAATCCCCCATATAGCTTGATCTTCCTCCCTTCATTCTTGCCCAATCCTACAGGTTATTAATCAGAAAGAAGACTGTCCCAAGTGCCGAACCCGTCGCATCAAATGCGACAGGTCGGTCCCAGTATGCCGGAAATGCACCACACGAGGTTTCTCATGTCCAGGATACGGCCTTATTCTCCGATGGAACCAAGGAGTTGCCAGCAGAGGTAGACTGGCAGGCCGGCAGCTACCTATACCATCCACCCCGACTATTGACCACTACCCGGATGCGGTGACATCCGAACTCATGCATCACTACCATCGGATCGTCTCTGCCAAGCTGGCCTGGGTGGATGGTCCGACGAACCCCTGGAGACAGGTTATCGTCCCACTGGCTGGGGCATCGTCGACGGTCCTCCATGCGGTGCTCGCACTTTCGTCGGAAGACCTTGCGGTACGATTCCCGATCGGGCATCCGCGCCGCCAGCAGCTGCAGCTCGTCTCAATGTGCCGCCGGAATCAGGCCTTATCGTCGGTTGCTCGTCTGCTGTGCCACATGAGGCAGGAGGGCTCCTCCACCAGCCAGGCCCAATGTGCGCTGGCCGCCACGCTCATCCTATATAACGTCGAGCTCCTCGGCGCCGCGTCGGCTAAGTGGCGAATGCACCTGGAGGCCGCGCGTGTGATCCGTCAATGGAAAGATCATACACTTACGGACGCCGGACGCGAGGATGAGATCGATGCTTTTTTGATCTACGAGCAGTACTACGCAAGTGTCTTTGCTGGCCTCACAACATTCGATGCCCTGGAGGAGTACGAAGCCGTTCCACTAACTGATGCAAATGCCATTTTTGGCGATTTCATCATCATTATCAGTCGTGCGACACATGTGGAACGCTTGCAATATAGTCATGGCCATCCGATCGATTCTTCATTGCTTCGCACTATGACAGGGGACTTGGAAGCCGCCAAGGCCCGCATGCTTCAGCTTAGTCTCATACTTCGCTGGCAAACAGACCAGGCGTGTAGCAGTTTCCAGCACCTGGTGTGGATTTTTTATTACGCTAGCCTAATCTATGTCTACCACGTCCTCGCCCGGGATGGTTCTTTAGACACGACACGCCAGTCCTGGAGAGATTCCATCTTTGCTCATCTAGCCCTTCTCGTTGACAAGCGCTCATTCGCTCATGACCTTGTTTGGCCGCTATTCATTGCAGGCACCGAGTGCCGCGGGTGTCCGCAGAAGCAGGAGGTGGTAGCGCACGAGATCGAACTGGTGATGGAGATAAGCGGCACATTGGACCGACGCAACGTCTTGGCGTTTCTGCAGCGGTTCTGGTCTCTGCCGGACAGTGGCCTTACGTGGATCCAATACATGAGACTGGCACCCGAACGGCGGATGCTTATCCTTTAATACCACCTATCACGCGGGATTAGACATTTGGAGAATATCCTCGACACTTCTACCCGAATGTTTGGCTTCTTTCCGGGCCTCCCGGAATCGGATGCGCCATATGATGTGGCTGAGGTAGATTCCCAGCTCGAGTACCACGCTATTTATGGGTTAGACACGCAGCATGTACGGCGAGGCAAGGATTGGACTCACACAACAATATACATAACCCCGCCAAGGATATCAAACGACCCTTGTGCCACTGTTGGAGTCCGTTAGCATGTCGTACGGGGAGGGATGTAACGGCCATACCAAGCGCAAAGATTGAGAACAGTCCTCCCAGCGTGTCGATGCACAAGAAGACCCAATCTATGTCGATGAGAATTCGCTCTCTTGCCCACGAGAAACAGGAACAACACGTACTGATTCCAATTACTCGGCCTTGTCTTTTCCCCAATTCAAAATAAATGGGTAACATGCCGCCGGCGAGAAGCACTGTTGCTATCGCACCAACCAAGATATCCGGCCAGGTGATGCCTTTATTGTTCGGTATCTGCGACCAGGGCCGAGTTAGTACGCAAGATTGTAATGAACGGGTAGAACGGTCATCATGCCCTCAAAGTTAAGATGAGTAGGGCTTCGAGCCCACCCATAACTGCTAATAACCCAACACACGCCAATGTGGCCTTCCGAGTGGTATAATTGCTGTCACGCTTGTTAGTATATCGACATCGATACATCTTGAGCAAAGATATTTCCAGGACTGGGGAACAAAAAGAGTAGGTCTAACTGATCATAATGTAAAATCTGAGCCCAAATGATGGCCGAAAATGTCCCGAATATCTGCGGCTGGATTTGCATAGGGAGATTGACTTCCTGGCATTCATGACAGTAAGCACCTCGACTTTCCGAGTCATGACCAGAACCTGACGGACAAACTGAAGGATGGCATTTACCTGTAGGATCAAATACACACCCATGGGCACAGCACCTGATAGGATTTCATTCAATATTACTAACTGTGGCACTCCTGTCTTTGGCACGGTACCAATCGCAGATATTACTAGTACACTGGTGCTATATAAACATCACCATCACCGGGGAGGGGAAGGGGGGAGGGGGGG